CGTGCGAGCGAGCGGCGGGCGACAAATCGTCGTCGTGAGTCAGAGCGGGGCGCGCAAAGACGAATTAACCTAAAGCGGTGGGCCGGAGCCTCACGCAGCACCTCAGCGGCCGGGCCGGCGAGTGGGAAAAGGCTGGCGGTAAACTGGGGAGAAAAAGGCTGGCAGGGATACGCGAAGCATCAAGCATTTACAACAATTTCGGAGATGGAGGGCGGCCCGTGTTCAAACCGTGGCCCTCGCCTTAGCACCGCGCGCATTCGTCTTACAAGTTCGAACATGTTCAAGGATGGAGGGCTGCTCCTGTTCAAGACGCTGTTCCCGCCTGAGCGCTGCGCACATTGGTCTGCAAAGTCTGCAACAGTTTCAACGATGGAGCGCGGCTCCTTTCCAGAATGTTGCTCTCGCTGTAGCACCGCGCGCACTCTGTCTAAATATTGCAGCAATTACGGATGGAAGGTTATACGTTATACCTGTTCAATACGCTGCTCCCGCCTTATCGCCAGAGCATTCGTGTGCAGAGCTTGTAGCTGTTTCAAGGATGGACCGTTGTTCCTGTCCAAACATGTTGCTCTCGCTGTAGCACAGTACATTCCTCTATGCATGTTGCAACAGTTTGAAGGGTTCGTACGGTTGAAGTCCTGGGAAGGGTGTTCTGGCACGGTTTAGGATTGTCAAGACGCAACACTCACGCTGATTCGCGGCATGAAACCCCAGGAACTGCGTTTTGGCGCGATTGAAAGTTTTCAGACGGTTGTCGTCCAAATGGGCACTTCCCGCAGTGGAAATAACAAAAAAACGTCGTAGGGACCTGTGGAGAGGGAACTTGGTGGAGGGCTTACCTTTACAACTTTGATGCGTCTAGGGTTTATACTGGTCCTCCTCCTCCTCCTCCTCCCCCTCCTCCTCCTCCTCCTCCTCCTCCTCCTCCTCTTCCTCCCACTCCTCCGTTATCCCAAACAGCAAGCGACGTGATTGATTCGATCCGCGGCCCGCAGAAGGTCCCGAACCCTTCCCAAGGAATATTTGTTCATACTGGATCCGTCTGTGGTGGTCCCACGGGGCCCCACGAGAGCCTCCACACTCCCCAAAGCCGAAATTCATTGTGGAGAATATATGGGCAGAGAAGCAAGGATGGCCAGAGGTCTGAGATCTCCGTCGCGCCCCACTCCCAGACCCCCAGAGACCCAGATCTCTGCCCAGAGTCGGCATTTCATCGCGAGTCGTGTTCTGACAGTCCTAGCAGCCTTTTCTGCAGATTCTGGGACCCAAGGCGCTGCGTGGATGCCCACTCCTGCAACCAGGTGCCTGCTGGCCGGCGCACCAAGCGCCCGACATCCAGCACGAGGCACGCGCTCAGTCCCTGGTGAAGCCCGACAACCTGGCAGCGGCACTCGACGCCTGACGCCGCTCCCGCCCCCCGCCTTTACCAGCATGGCGTGTGGGAAGGTTGCCGACCTGGAAGCCACGGACCTGATCCGCGCCCCTGCGAAAAGGATCAAGTTTTATTAGGACAATGCCAACATCATGGTAGACCATGCCCGTAAGCTCCACTATGACATCGGCGAGGCATGGCGGGGCTTCGTCGACAAAAGGCGGACCATGGAATCTGTGAAATACTGGCCTAGGACGGAAGACGCCCGGTGCTGGACGCGAGATGAGTGCCCCGCTTTCCTTGACCAGGTATACGACGGCGACATACCACCCAGCGGGGTACCCACCAAGGCAGGCGCGCCGCGCTGGCGGACATCATCGCCAGGGGGGTGTCGGGCAAGGGCAGGCACAAAGCGGTCGACAACCACTTCAAGCAGGCCTGGAAAAGATTCCTAGGAACCAGGGCCACCAACAAGGGTACCAAACCCCCTGCGCTACGATGGCACCCTGGCGGCATTCCTGGACAGCCAGGGCATCCGATGCAGCGCAGCTGGAAGGATACTGCAGCCCCGCACTGGCCAGGGATCGCGACACCACGACGCCAGAGCAGGCGGGCGCTGCCCCCGCCGTCGCGCAGGAACCAGAGCAGCGAGTCGCCAGGGACTCTGTGGAGCCCTGCCGACCAGAATCGCTACCAAAAGACGCCCAGGACGGCCAGCGAGGGGCACCAGCCAGAGAGCAGACCGATCAGCCCTCAGCGCAGGCCAATCGTGAAATACTGCTGGCGGATCTGGCGCAAGCCGTCCGCGAGGTGCTGCTGACAGACCCAGGCCCCAAGAAGAGCGGGCACAGGAGCAGGTGCGCCAGCCGCAGCCCGAGCCTTCCCCCAGACCCGGTGCCCCGCCAGCCTCCCCACCCAGCGATCGCCCAGACAGCTCTGTAGCTGAACCTGGGGGAGGGCAGGCCGCTAGCGGAGGCGGAACGCCAGCGGGTCCGCTCTCAATCAGACCCCCAGTCTCGGGGATGCGCAAGGGTCCTCCCCCCTGGTGGTTGTGGTCGACTGCGTATCACCAAGGATGACGCGAACGACACGCGTGCCGCCTGCTAGTGCGCGCTCCTTGGTCGAGCAGGCCACCCAGGCACCCACGTCACCATCCGCATTGGCGGCTTCTGGCTAACAGTGACCCGCACCGCACTTCGCATGGCCACTCTCGAACGGCAAGCCCTTCGGGGACGCCAGAGACACGGGGGCAAATCCCGCTCTGGAGGCCGCCCAGGCAGCTGACAGCACAGCCAGGCCCCCAGTCAGACGTTCCGTACGAGGTCGAGGTACGAGACCCACCCTATCGGGACGAAGGGAGGCCAGTTGGGCCAGCAGCTGGTCGCGCTGGAACCAGAGACGTGGCCGCCAGTGGGACCGCACGACCTGGGCCCTGGGCCGAGAGGGACGCCGCCAGGGGCGCCTCAGGCTGGAGGGAATGGAACGAACGCCCAGACCCGCTGTATTGCAACCCCAGGGCCGACATCCAGTGGGAACCTCAAAGGCGACGCCAAGACACTAGGACCGAGACGTGGACTGGGGTGGTCAACCGCCTCAAGGGGACGTGCGGCGCGCTCGTCGTGGAGGGGTGGAACAGGGCCTGCGATCGGAGGAATGGAAAAGGCCATGGCAAGGGCACCTACAAACCCAGCGGCTACGACTGCTTCTGCCAAGCATTCCTGTAGGAGATGGCCACGTTAGACCACGACGTGCGGCGCCTCTGTAACAAACTGTGCCTGGATGTGGATTGGGACACTGTCTGGCGACAGCAGCAGAGCAAACGCGGGCAAACGTCCGACAAGGGGCAGGGCGGCAAGAGGCACAGCGAACCCACCTGGCCCGCGGGAGACCAATCCCGGCTGCGAGGTGTGTGAAGCACGGAGGCTCGGGCTGTCAGAGCGCGGCCCCCAAGGGCACGCCAGGGCCCGCAGCACCGCACGCGCGCAGACGTCCCACCCAGGCGCTCTGCACACAATCTCCACCAGCAAGCGCACCGCACCAGCTAGGTACGTGTGGGGTCGGATCCGCGGGGCCTTCCAACCCAAGTCAAGCGAGTACCCTGGCAGGCGGTGGCTAATCCATTTGCCTGCGCGGAACACTCGCATACCCGACTGTGTTGAAACCTGCGGAAAACCTTCCGGTTCCCCACCAGCAAGCGCACCAGTCAGGTGCTCTGGTCTACCTGGTTCTGCCCGTGGCAGCGGCTGCGCCATTGAAGCCCATAATTAGGGGCGCCGCCCGCTACCTCTCTTACCAACACGCGCACCAGCTAGGTGCACTTTCCATCGTGGTTCCCGCGCATGGTCCAACCCAGGCGGTGCGCGGTCGAGCACGGGCGCCCCACCCCTCGCCTCCCCCGCTCGGCCCAGCCTCTGGCCCACCGCCCCTCGCCAAGCGAATCGGCGCTGGGCCACGCCCCCCCGCCGGTGCTGCTATCGCAGTCCGTGCGGCCAGCAGGGGCTCCACACTTGCCTGCAGCGCCTGCTGCCCACTGGGAGGTCGCCACCGTTGCAGTTCAGCTCCCACTTTGCCGCTCCGGCTGCCGCCGGCGCTGCTCCCCCCACTCTGGGTTGGCCCCGCCATGCGGCTCGACCCCACAACCGTTCCAAGCCGTGATAGCGTGCACCGGCCGTGAGCGGGCCGCCCTCTCCCGCGCACCGCGCCCCAAAAGCGCGCGCCGGCGCTGCAGCCCCTGCGCTACTGGTGGAGTTGCCCGGGTCGCAGTTTCGCTGCCCTGTCCAGGGGGCCACCGCCACTGCGGTTCGCTCCCGCCCTGCCCACGCCACACTCGACAGCTGGCTGGGCGCTTCCCCCTCGCTCCGAAGGCCCCGCCCGTGCGTCACTTTTAGTGGGCGTCGGGTAACTCCCGCCGTGTTGCCGTGCACTGGCTATGGAGTGGCGTTCCTTCTCCCCCTGTCCCCGCCCCGCCCCGCGTCTGGAGTACGCTGGCCGCCCCCTCCGCTGAACCGTCGCACCCTCCACCGCCGTGGGTTTCTTGCAACCGCTGCAGCACGGGCTGGCCGTGCCGTCGGCTCCACGCCGCCGCACTTCCCTTCGCCGGCCACTTGGTTTCCAGCCACCGCCGCCTCCCACCCCCCCCACTACTGGGTCACTCCCGCACTGCTGCTGCTGGCTTCGCACCCTGGGTGCGCTGCGACGCCGCCCCGCAGCCGCTGCCAGCTTGGACCTCAGCCTGGCCGCGCCCCTGCCCCCACCGCAACCCTGCTGCGTGAGTTCGCTCCCGCGTTCCCTCCTCTCCTGCTGCCGCCCCTGCCTCTGCAATTCGTGACTCCGCGCCCCGACGTCACTCGGACGCGCGTGCGGATTGCCTCTGCCGCGCTGCGACGTAAAAGTGTTTGACATCCCTGGGAAACCGAAAACTGCCACAGATCATCCTTCCTGAGATCCGACGAACAGAGCACCGGACATGATCTTTCCGCGTCATTCCCCAGCCGGATTGATATGTGAGGGCCCTGGGGCCCGAAACTGGGCGAAAACGCTGGGCTCAAAAAAATGGAGACGCCAAGGATCCCAGGGTCCCGTCATGATTTTGCCACGACGCGCGGGGGCCTGGGCGTCCCCCTCGGTCCTCCAACTCGACGGACACCACCTAGGCGTCGACAAGAGCCGGGTCTGCTGCGAGAAGTCGCGGCGACCCTAATTACGCCGCGGCGCACGCGGGCCGCCAGCGTGGCACACCGCGTGGAGAAGAGAACGCCCACGCGAGACCCTTGCGCGGGAAACCGCCGCGCCAATGCCCTCTCAGACAAGCCCGTTTCTCGTCGGCCGCTCACCTGCGCGTCCGCCACATCCGTCCCGTCGTGCAGCCTGCGGACGTCCCCCTCCTCGAACTCCGCGGGCACGCCGATCAGGCGGAGGCCAGGGAGAGCCACCTGGCGCCGGCCGGCACGCCAGACCCTCGGACCCAGACATCCCGTGATCGGTGGATGCCCGTGGTTTCGGATGGCGACCGACGAGATCGGTCGCTGCCAATTTTGCTTTTAACCATTGCGGTACGGGTCGCGACCGATTTGCTTCAACATCGGTCGCGACCGATTTCGATATTGGTCACCATCAGTCGCGACCGAGTTGGAGTGCAGATCTGCCACTACCGATCGCGGCAAAAACAATCCGATATCCACTGGTCAGAGTCCGACGACTTTATTAGTGCGCGTAGGATCCTGAGATCCGGGCGTTGCAATTTTTTCACCGGGCGATTTCTTTGGACTCCGGGCCCGGGGCCCCAGGGCCCTGACAGATCGACCCGGCTCTAAGCATGGAAGAGAAAGATGTGATAGGCTTCTGGACGTGATTTTCCACGATGTCATATTTTTCGCCGACGTCGGATCTCAGGGGACGAAGTCAAGACCAGGGCAAAAATCGGACCAGCATGAATCGGGGACCTCTGAAATCAAACAGTGCTGGAGGATGTATTGGGCGCCGCGGCCGCACCCTGATGATGTGATTTTGTTCAACGCGCGGTCCAAGAGGTCCCGACGCATGGGGTCCGAGTGGATGGGGTTGGAAGATCATGCCGCATCGCCGATGCATCATCGATGTACCGGGGATGCATCGGCAACGTCGGCGATGCATCAGAGCCGTCGGGCTCTACATCGGGTCCCATCGCCGATCCATCAGCGATGCGGTGCGATCCTCCAAAGCCATCAACTTGGGCCCCATTTGGGAAGCCCATTATTGGGTAGGTTTTCGTCCAGGATCCACTTTTGATGGCCTGGGGCCTCGATGAAGGCTCCCGCAGGCCTGAGGTCAAAGAAAAAGTGCGGGATTGAAAACATCATTTCGGAAAACTAGGGAGGCATGTGCAGGAGACGTCCTTCCACCCTGCGATCCGACGTCGCGGAAAATGAAACACCGATGAAAAACACGACCAAAGCCCTCGACCCCATCTCCCTGCTGCATTCTCCAAGCCGGGTCGATATTTGATGGTCCCCGGGGGGCCAGAAACTGTGCGAAAACGCCCGAGCAACAAAATGTACAACCCCAGGATCCCAGGGATGCTGCGCCACAGCGGTGGTGGCCATTGGCCGCCTGGCCGGTCCCGTCACAACCCGAACCGAGCACGGGGCGGCTGCGCGGGCGTCAGGGCCAGCGAGAAGGCAGGAAGGTCCGCCAGCGAGAGGGGGGGGGAAGCGCGGGCAAGACGGTCCTCCTCCTCCTCCTCCTCCTCCTCCTCCTCATTCTCCTCCTCCTCCTACAGTGCGGGCTCGGCCGCAAGAAACCCTCGCAAGAAACCCAACCCTGAAAACCCGCGTGCGAGGTGCACCTGAGGGAAAACACGGAGCACCCTGAGCGCAGCAGCTTCTTTGACGGCCGCGGGAAGTCACCGCGCAGCGCGCGGAGCGGAGAACTCCAGGGTACTCCGACGAGAAGTAGATGGTTTCATGATGCGCGCCCCCACTGTATTATTCACCGCCGATGGGGGCGCAGGACCGCACTGATGGATCATGCAATGCAGCGGGGGCCTGCTTAGCACAGGGAGGCTGGCGCACTGGACCTCACAAGGATCCACCACTTCAGCCACTTCCCTGAGCGTCCACTGGCTTCGCAGCATCAGGGGCAACATTGTCCCACTGATGCTGCTCAAGAACAGGATCCAACAGCATCCAGAACGGAACTATGGACTCCGAGAGTTCATGGAAACCTGCAACACTGTCAAGCTGCAGCCGAGACACATTAGTCGCCATTGCATGCGCCAGCATTCTGCACATCGGGCTCGCACCTTGTTTTGTACCAAAGGAAATGTTGCGGCTCAGATTGGGTTGTTGTCCCGCGAAGTACAAACAAACAAACAAACAGATAAGACTGTTTGCTCATTTTTGCTCAAGGGATATTGAACACGTATACCCCAAACCCTCTGTACCCGCCCTCTTCGTCTTCGATCGTACCCCTTGAGGGGTATACACCTTCCTCACCAGCAACGCGTATTAGGTGCTGACCCTAAGGCAGGGGAGGAGAGGACGGATGGAAGGAAGGGACAATAAGGGGGAGAGAGGAGGATGGAGCACGAGAGAAAGTAGCAAGAGGGGGGCTGGGAACAAAAAACACGAGGCACAACCAGGCGGGCAAATCTGGCGGGTAGACCCTAATGGGCGGTTCGGGAAGATGGGTCCAGGCGGCCAAGTCGAGCAGGCGGGTTGCTGAAGCGTGCGTCCTGCATGACTCGCAAGGGAGTCTCGAGCGATAGCGCGATTCCCAAATAAGTCGCAGGGGGGATCCACACCGAGCGTGTGACTCCTGAGTGTCGAGGGCGCGGCGTCTGAATAAATGGCGAGACGTCCCACGCGAGAGTGCGATTTTTGCATACAGTATGAGGGAATCCCGCGCGAAAGCGCGATTTGGGAATACATTGTCACAAAGTATCAGGCGGGAGCCGTTGTTGTCATAAACGAGGGGCCAGGGGCATAGTTTGGTGACATCTCGCTTCCCCGTGTTTTTTCTCAGGGCAAAAAACGAGTATGAGCCCCAAGAAAAACATTGTAGTGGAAAAGATAGAATAGTTACCGGGCAGGGGTATCGAACAGCAATTATTCGTTAGGAAAGACATTCGATACCCGCCGTCTCCGACTTCGATCGTACCCCCCTGGGGGTATATTTCCCTTCCCTGACGCGTGTATTTGTTGCAGCCCCTACAACAAGGGAAGACAAGACACATGGAAAGGGGGTGGGAGAGGGATGGAGCAAGGGACCAGCAACAAAAGGGCTAGAAAAAACAAGTGGCAAACCTGATTGGCAGATCCGGCGGGTAGTCCGTAACGGGCGGGTCGGGAAGGAGGACCCAAGCGGCCAGGTCGATTTCTCAATGCGTCGAGAAGATATGTAAAGCGGACGCCGTTGAACACTATTTCTTCTTAAGAATATTTATTGTTGGGGCCCCTGGTGCATGGCCCCCCCGCCGCGCCTAGGCCGCAACCACGTTTTCATCATTTTCGTGAGGAAGCCTCAGGCAAAACGATGTGATCCAGATCCGGTTGTTTTGTTGACGCCCGCTTTCCCTTGCAAAAAACACTATAAAATGACATTTCTTGTTCTAACATATCCAAACTTCAAGAATCCCTTGCAAAAAATAAGGTAAAGTTGACATTCGCGCGCGCAAGACGAAATCCTTCCAAAACCTTAGTTTTCGTAGCGATTCTAACATAAAAGCATCAAAAAACCAATGTCTTTTTTTAATGACAAAATTTCATCCCGCGCGCTCTTGCGGATTCGTAGGAAACCCAACACTTTTTAAACATTTCTGTCAAACGGGTTTTTGCGAGCAACTTTTTCGAACTTCTGCAACAACGGTTGCGCACCTGCCAGGGCCATCATCCCTGTCAAATAATACCATGCGGGACACATTCGTTTTTTCTTCGCGCGCGCACGCCGTCGTCGTCGGCCGCGGGGCCCTGAATAGTAGCCACGGTCGTCCGCATGCCACGAAGTGAAGTGTCCGAACGTCATAGGGCGGGAAGCTGGGTGTGGGTGGTGGCGAAGAGTCGTTTGGAAATTTGGTAGAGCTTGAACCGGCCCCCCCACAAAGTGGGGGTATTGCCCGCCTCCTATGGAAACCCTGGCACTGGTGAGAACGGAGTGTCCCCACGTGCTAGTAATTGTTGTTGTTGTTGTTGTTGTTGTTGTTGTTGTACGGGCCTTACAGCGGAGTTGGGTGACCCCATAATTGCCTGCGTAACAGAAAAATGCGAATCCTGGGAGAGGAGGACTTTATTTGGGAAACAAAATGCGGTCACTGGCCAGGGGGGGGTCAATTCCACGCGGAAGGTAAGAAAAATATGCCCCCACGGTGGTATGATCGAAGACGAAAAGGGCTGGTATTAAGGGTTTGGATATACGAAATGAGTGGCACGCGAGCAGATAAATGCCAAAACGTCTAGAATTGTCAGTTGCTCGTCTTATGGCACTTTCATTCATGTTACAAAGTATGGGTGGCATCCCCTCCTCAGTGCCCATTTTTTATTTAAATTCCTCACCTGGGGCTCGATCCCTGCTTTTCCCCATATCCACAGGATATGGGTCTTGTTATTCTCCGACCGCGCCGGACCAAGAGAACCCCTCCCCTCCTTCCTCTCTGCACTAGACAATGATAATGATTGGCACGATGATGACCATGGCATGAGGAGAGTATGATGTGAGTATGACGGCGATGGTGAATGATGAATGATGAATAATGGATGATGGATGATGGATGATGGATGGTGATGATGATGATGATGATGATGATGATGATGATGCTGATGCTGATGCTGATGCTGATGATGATGATGATGATGACGACGATGAGCAGATGATGAGGATGTCTCGAGCGGCCAGCTGGTTTTAGCACTCCTAAGGGGGGGCCGCCAGGGGTATTGCACGGCCTCCGTTCGCGCCCAAATGGCGGGGATGTCTCAGGCGGTTTGCCTGTTTTGGTCCTCAACATCCTCCGCTTTCGGAGCAGATTCTGAGGGTGTCTCAGGCGAGGCGCTGGCTTTCGCACCCCAGGGGGCCAGACTTCAAGGATGTCTCAAGCGGTTTGCGTGTTTTGGTGGTCAGACTCGTCTGCTGTCAAAGCAAATTCTGAAGATGTCGATGGCGAGGCGCTGATTTCCGCTCTCCCGGAGGGCCCAGATTGCGAGGATGCCCTAGACTCACTTGTGCTCAAACTCACTCGTGATCAGGGTCACTCATGTTCAGACTCGCACTCATCATACTCATACTCAGACTCACTCACACCCAGACTTACGCACACTCAGACTCACTCAATCTTAGACCCACCCACCCTCAGACTCATTCGTAGTCAGACTCACTCGTACTCAGACCCACTCAGGGCCAGTTTCATATCCATCATACTCATACTCAGACGCACTCACACTCAGATTTACTCACGCTCAGAATCACTCACACTCAGACCCACCCACCCTCAGATTCACTCGTAGTCTGACTCACTCGTACTCAGACCCATTCAGACTTAGACTCGTACTCACTATACTCATACTCAGACTCACTGGCTTTCGCACCCCGGGGAGGGCAGATTGCAAGAATGCCCCAGACTCACTTGTGCTCAGAATCATACTCATCATACTCATAATCAGACCCATTCACACCCAGTCCATGCAAATCGATGCACATATGGGGAGCTCCACGCAGTGAACAATTTTGGCAAGGAAAAGCATGGGGCTCAAACTGAAACCCTGGCCCACGATATACAACAACACCGGCTCCCGCCGCATACCTCCCCACAACTCATTCCAGAAACGCGCCTTTGCGTAGGATGTCCTTGCAATGTATGCAGGAGTCGCGCTCTCGCGTCGCGCCTCCTCGCAGTTTATATAAAAGCCGCACCCTCGACACTCAGGAATCACGCATTCGCTCTGACGTTTCTCATGCTTTACTTCGGATTCACGCTATCGCCCGAGATGTCCTCGCGATTCATGCAGGACTCCCGCTTCAGCACCCCGCTTGCTCGACCCGGCCGCCTGGGACCGCTTTCCCGACCCGCCCGTTAGGGTCGACCCGACCGATCAGCCCGTCTGGCTGTGCCACGTGATTCCTGATCCTAGCCCCCCTCCTGCTACTTTCCCTCGTGGTCTATACTTCCCCCTCCCGCTTGTCCCTTCCCTCCATCCGTCCTCTCCCCCTGCTTTAAGGGATGCGCCAAATACGCGTGGCAACGAAGGAAGATATACCCCCAACGGGGGCACGATCGAAGACGAAGAGGGCGGGGCATCGAGCATCTGGGATATACGCGTTAAAGGGCACGCGAGCAGATAAGAGCGAACAAAACTTAAATGGTTTATGTTGCTGCTGATGTCATTGCTGTTGATGTTGTTATTCGTGTTCTTGTTGGTGTTGTTGTTGGTGGTGTTGGTGGTGTTGTTGCTGCTGCTCCTGCTGTTCTGTTGCGGTTGTTGTTCTTGAACTCTCACTTATGAAGAATAAATGTTGTGGATTTCCCCCCATCAGTGCATACAATTTTTTCTCAATCAAAGTGTGCCCCTCGACGCTCGCACCCTGTTATTTGGCAGGGGAAGTCTTGATGATCAAACTGTGCCCCTGGCCCCCGGTTTACAACAACAACGGCTCCCGCCTGAGACTTCCCCCAAATTTACTCAGGACCCACGCTCCCGCCTGAGACTTCCTCACAATTTACTCAGGATCGGTGCTCCCGCCTGTGACCTCCTCGCAATCAGGACCCCCGCTCCCATCTGAGATTTCCTCACATTTTATTAGAAACGGCGCTCCCGCTTAAGACTTTTTCGCAATTGCATCAAAACGTCCTCGCAATTTAGTCAAGACCCCCGCTCCCTCCAGAGAACCCCTCACATTTGATTCCGGAATTGCCCGAGACTTCCTTCAGGAACGGCGCTTTCGCCTAGGACTTCCTCATACGTTCACGCTCTTACCTTCCTGCTCATCCTCCCTCTCCCTCCTCCTTCGACCCTCCGCTCCTCCCTTCTCTCTCCCTCCTCTCTTCCCTTATCCTTCTGCCTCTCTGCCCTATTCCCTCTCCTTCCTCTCCCTCCTCCCTTCTCCCTCCCCTCTCCTGCCTCCTCCCTCCCTCTTTTTTTTTCCCTCTCTCTCTCTCTCTCTCTCTCCTTTCTCTCTCTCTCTCTCTCTCTTTCTCTCTCTCTCTCTCTTTCTCTACCTCAGTTGTATGTATTTCTCTTTCTCGCTCTCTCTCTCTCTCTCTCTCTGCCTCTAATCAACCGCCCCCCTCTTCGCTCCTTCTCTCCTGGCGTTTTCCCTCTTCCTTCGTCCCTCCCCCTACCTTCCTCTCACTCTCCCTCGTTCTCCCCCTCCTCTTTTTGCAGGGCCCACACCGATTCCAATGGCGGGCAGATGTACGCCCTTGAAAGATTGTCCGCCCGTTCAGGTTTGCCCGCCTGTCTGAGCCCGCCGCCCCCCGCAACAAAAAAAGAATCCCCCCCCAAGGGGGTGTGACCGGAGACAACAAGGGCGGGTATCGAGGGTGTGGGGAACCCGTTTTGAATGACACACGGGCAAGTAAGAGCGAACCGTCTTATAATGATAGTTGTTGTTGTTGCTGCTGTCGTCGTCGTCGTCGACGTCGTTGTCGTCGTCGTTCCTCCCACTGCAACCCCCCGCTACACACCCACGACTCACCTGCGACCCACCCGCGACTCACCGGCGACCCACCCGCGACCCAACCCGCGCCCGCCCTCAAGCTCTCATCCGCCATTGCGGGGTGCATACGTCGGAGATCCAGGACGACCAGCGCCGGCGGCGACGACGGGTGGCGGCCTCGGGGTCGGCCTCGGCCGCGGTCGAGGCGGTGGGCCGCCCGGCGGGCCGCCTGGGCGCGGCGCCTCGGGCGCCGCCCGCGACGGGCGCCGCCTGGGTTCAGAGCGCGCTGGTGGGGGGGACAAGCTCGAGCGAAAGGAAGGATGGAGGAAAGCTTCGGGTTCGTTTCTCCAGCCTCGGGGTGCCTTCCAGCGGCTGCGCCTCGCCGGGAGCGTTCTGGGAGAGCCCGGATCGTCCCGAACGTCCGCTGGGGAGCCGACTTATAACCCGAAAGCCAGCGGGAAACATTGGGGGGGCTCAGGACGCTCCTGGAGGCCGCCGCCGCCGCCACGGGAATCGACGCTCGATCCTCGATCCACGTCTTCTTCATCTTCCTGCTCGTCTGTGGACTGGACGGCTTCAGATTGGTAGATTTGGGGGCTCTGGTTTCGGAGTCAGCCTGGCTGGATCGGCTGCGCGCTTGATTGGATCCATAATGGGTGGACGCTTGTTCGCGAAGTGTTGCTCAAGGGTCCGAAGCCCTGAAAGCTCAGGGCGGGCTGGAGGTCCGGACTTCGCGGCTGTTGACTCGGTCCTGGGGCAATATACTTGTTCACGGCGCGGATCTATGCCCCCATGGGCGCCTCATCTGATCCTGGTCGTCTGTGCTTCCCGTCGTCGTCGTCGTCCTCGTCCTCCTCCTCCTCCTCCTCCTCCCCCTCCTCCTCCTTCTCCCATTCGCCGGCGACGACGAGAACCTCGACCTCGACCTTGACGACATCGACGGCACTGGTGCCGACGGGCGCGCCCGGCGAAAAGCAGGTATCTCGAGGATCGAAGATCGAGGATTGTGGGAGATTGTCCAAGGTTCCAGATTGAGGCTTCGAGGTCCATGATTCCAGAACAGTCTGGAGGATCGAGGTTTGAGGATCGATATTTTGGGCTGCTGTTGGTCCGCCCTGGACCTGAGCGAGCCTCAGGAGGCGTCTGGGGACCTCTGGGGACCACAGAGGCCGTCATCGCCGTTGTCGTCGGCGTCGCTCGCCGTCGCAATGGTTCACTGTCGAGCGTCAACGTCAATGTCATCGCCGTCATCCGTCGTCTTATCGTCGTTGTCGTCGTAGCTCGTCGCTGCCGTCATTCATCGTCGTCGCGCGACGTCGTTACCGTCGAAGTGGCAGCCTCGTCGACGTGGTATGTGCTGTCGATGGCGTGTCGCCGTCAGTCGGCTTCAAATAAGTCGTCGTGAAACGGGGGCTGGAGAGGACAAGGGCAGGCAATAAATGTGATGGAGCAAAGAAAGGAGGACGACCATGAGGACGTGTAGGACAAAAAGGATACGGACAAGAAGGCATGAAGTATGTACTCAAAACCACATTGTACCTCAGGGTCTTCAGCGCCCTCAAAAGGAGCAGCGACACAAGCTGCCCTAGAGCAGCTCTGTCAGGAATGGGCGAAATGGTTCTTGGCAGCCTACTCTCCCCTGCAGGACGGCCATCCACGCCTCGAATCTATAAAATTGAATCAAGGTTGGCTCTGGCAACTCGCGTGGGAGAACATAATGGTTCGACTTTGCCCCGAGGGGGACCGCTGCGTGAAATACTCCTGTCATTTTTTTTGCGGGGCCCGATCCCGCGCCGCAGTGTTCGGAGGACCTCGAGTCCCCTGGGCGTGGGCCGCCCACGAAGGGGCCCGAAGCATTGCTGTTCGACGCTGCAACGCGCATGCGCCGTCTTGAACGCAATCAGAAAATCCAGATAAGCTGGCAAGAGCATCGCAGACAAAACTGTTGGAGGCATCCTGCGGTACGGCAAGCAACTGGTGCCCATTCGGGTGTCTACGGAAAGCGGGAAGGAACTTGGGAACCGCTTGCAACCGAGCGCGGAAGTATCATTAGAAAGATCAGCAAGACACATACGGTTCGTGCACGGCCCCACAGGAGGCGGAACACCATTCACGGCAAGTAGCAAACATGATTCGCTGGCTCCGTGCCAAAAAAAAACTAGAATGTGGGAATGTTTTCATGTGGGCCGAAATAAAGACAACATCAGCACACACATTCACATCGTTAGAAGCAACCGAACAGGCTTCACGTTCACCAAGCCCCGCCACGAACTCTGGGGAGGTTGCCGTTTTAACAAACGCATGTGCGACCACGCTGGCGTCAGTGATGCGTATCTATTCGCCCGCAAACGCGACGCAATGCTCGCCAATATTGCGTGTTTTGGCGTGGTGCACGTCCTCGATGTGATCATAGCGCCGCGTGGCTTAGCCGAAGTGGTGGACGCCCGAATGCAGAAAGCGAGCTTGTATATGCTCCTCTTTCGATTTGAGCGCTGGCTTGACCAAGGGGCATGACATGCGTATGTGCTGTTGACGGTGCGTCAGAAACGCGCCCAACGAAGGCGAGGCTGAGGAATTCCGCCATCGCTGAAGACTGAGGCATCGCCCGAGGTACTGCGCCAGACATCACCGCCAATGGCATGTCGGCTTCGGTACCCATGAGCGCAATCGACGCACCTGCTCACCGAAGCTCAGCAAGAGGAGGCTTGGAACATGGCCCGTGCACAGCGAATGCTAACTTCTCTCCGAAGGCCGGATGCGCTGCCATCTCCTTCGGGTCCGCATCGAGGCCATGGGTGTCATTGATGCGCGGCTGAGTGCCTGAGTCCTTGTCTCATCGCCGAAGAACACAACTAATCTCTGAATGAAACAGGACTTGCCAGCATTCTCCAACGCCACCTGCGTGAAAGATGCCGCGGTGGGGGGGTGCGTTTCCGCCCCGGCCGCGGAGACGTCGGACTTGGCGGACACATGCAGTCTGCGGTGAGTCGCGCCTGGGGCACCGCGTAACACACAGACCAGCCGATCACCCTTCAGCCTCGCGCGCCCACGAGTCCAAGGACCGCCCTCTGCTGAAGTGCGCGCGAGGGGCTCTTGGCCAAGTGGCCGGCTTGCGGTTCCCCCCTTGACGGTGCTCCTGATGAGGTCGAACGATCCCCCAGAGCAATCAGGCATTTCTCATTCGACTGCCAAGCGCATCTCCAGGGCGCCCCGCATTACCTCCTCCATGAGCTCCTCCAGGATGCCTGGCGAGGGTTACTCGAGAGGCACGGTAGCTCCGCGGCGGTCGCGTCACACGGCGCTGCCCACTATAGCCCGAACGCGCCGCCGAGCACATAGCGCGGCGCGCGCGGGAGGTCCTCTGCCTGAAGTCCACGGCGACGCCTTGGGATTATCGGAGCCAGCGACAACCGCGCCGCGCGCAAGCGCTGGCCTCGCTCCTGGTCGGAGCACGCGCCAATTCTATATTGCGCCTCAGGCATCGCTTTCCTGTAGCACTTGAGCTTCCTGAACTCAACGCCTGCTTAGCTCTCCCTTGCTTCGTCTTTGCGCTGGAATTGGGGGCCCTTTCGCCGCCCTGCATGGCCAATCCCAAGATGAGCAGCGGAGGGCATGCCACAGACCTCGATGCATCCCAGTCTCTTGAGACCACCTCTCTCGCCATTTAACAGGTGCTGGCAACGATCGCGAACTTCTTGCTCATGGGCCGATGCCCCCATGTTCTTGGCGATGGGGGGGGGGGGGGGGG